TGTACGGAGACCTTTTTCATTTTGAAGGAACCCACATTGGTTGACTAATTTCTTTTCTTTAGATAATTATGTCCATCGACTGGTTGCAAGTAAAACAGATGGAAAAATAGTACAGTATGAATGTGAGGGTGACACTTGCCAGGAGGAGAAAATAGATGCCTTACAGTTAGAGGTAAGATGCCTATCAGCTACCACTTAGTACCTATTCCTACTGCTTCTTACTATTCCAACTGGAAGGGTTGTTTGACTTTTAATTTTTGCTGTTTACTTTGCATGTAAACTTCTTCTTTTTTTTTTTTTTAACTTCTATCATTGCTATGAAGGGTTAAAATATTTTTATACCATCTGTTTTTGTTTTTGTTTTGAGTAGCAGGGATTGAACCCAGTGATGCTTAACTACTGAGCTACATCCCAGCCCTTTTTTTTTTAAAAAAAAAAAAAAAGAAAGAAATTATTTTGAGACAGAGTCTTGCCAAGTTGCTGAGGCTGGCTTTGAACATGTGATCCTCCTGCCTCAGCCTCCACAATTGCAGGCAACACTGTGCTCTGCACATCTGTTTTTCTTTATTGAAAGTTTAAGCTTCACTGTGCCTTATTATTTTCAAGTGACATTCCTAGTTGTTTCCAGTTCAGGTTAGTTAATTTAAACAATCTTGGTTATCTTTTGTAGCTGCAATAAACTGAAAATTAGAATGTTCCTTTGGCATCACAGTAGCAGCTGGAAACTGAACAGACTTGATCAGAATGAGGATAACCCATTAGTATCTTTCCATCCCCAGAAGTGTTTTTGTACACATTGGACTGGGGTTTTTTTATGCTTTAGAGGCTTGGATGTTTAAATGTTGACTCAAAGTATATATTTTATGAATTAGAGGCTGATATGCTTAAAGCCATTTTCTGAGTATTCATATATATGAAATAACAAAATTAGTACGATCTGGTTTTTCTCCATAGTAGTAAATTCCATCCATCATAAAGTTATTATAGTATAAAGTCTATTTTAAGTTAGGAGAAGTTTCAGCATAAGTTCCATTTTGTGTAAATGCAAAAAAAAAAAAAAAAGATTCTTTTTTTTTAATTGGTATTTATTTTTTAGTTGTAGGTAGACACAATATCTTTATTTTATTTTTATGGGGTGCTGAGGATCAAACCTAGAGCCTCACGCATGCTAGGCAAGCGTTCTACCTCTGAGCCACAACCCCAGCCCCCCCCCCCCATTTTTTATTTATTTTTTTAGTCATAGATGGACACAGTATCTTTATTTATTTATTTTTTTTATGCGATGCTGAGGAGCAAACTCAGTTTACCTAGCCTCACACATGCTAGGCAAGCACTCTACCTACCACTGAGCTACAACCCCAGCCCGCCCCCAGAAACAAATAACAAAACAAATACCTTAACCTTCAGAGGAAATGGACATTTGAAAACTCACTTATCTATAGATCTTTAAAGATCTGATGGTTTCAGCAAAATGGCCCAAAATAAGAACAATATTGCTATCAATAAATTACTACACTGATAGAGAAAAGATCAAATCCCCTTTAAGTTTTTAGAATGGCTCTTCCACGTTAACTATGTTACACACATTTTGTTTACTCAGGAAATATTTATTGGGTGGGAGGTGTAGCTGAGTGGTGGAACATTTGCCTTGCACGCTTGAGGCCCTGGGTTCCATCCCTAGCCCCACAAAAAAATAAAAATTCCAAAAAAAATAAGAGAAGAAAGGAATATTGTTTTATCAAAGGCTACTACCTTGGAGCCACTATGTCCCATGCTGTGACTACAACACTGAACCAACTCCCTGCCTTCACAGAGCATATATTCTAGCGGCACAGGTGTTCTTTAATTGTCCTTTCTCTCTAGCCTACAAACATGTTTAGATCCATTCTGATTCTAGAGTAGTATTCCAAAATGGAGATTTGATTTTGCCAATGCTTGGCCTTAGAGTTTGCCCATATTTCTCAACATGATACCCACAGGCTTCCACAAGCCCTAACTCTCTGTATTCTGTACTCCAGCCTCCTGGGTGTCACTTCTTTATTGCTGAAGAGACTCTGATCAGCCACAGCACTCTCTTGGCCCAGCAGGTCTCTGCAATCAGATCTCTGTGTATCTGTCTCTGTCAAGAGCCCTCTCAAAATCTTGGTTTCTCTCAGAAGTCCTACCAAATGCTGCTGTAATATACTATCTGTCCCTTCCCTGTAGTTTCACAGCACTGTTCATTTATTCATGCCATCATATAGCAAATGTTTCTTGACATCCAGCATGCACCAGGTTCTGGAGTTAAAGAAAAAGATATAGTTCTTACTTTGAGAGAGTCCATAGTCTACTCTGGCAGCAGGCAGGTAAACCGTGGACTACATACTAGTGTCATAAGAGCTATTAATGCTAAGCATGCACTGAGAAAGCCAAGTGGAGGCAGTTAACCAAAGGACTGATTAATGGATGGTTTGCTTGGAGTTATATATAGATTTTTATGTGTGTGTGTATGTGGTATGGAAGATGGAACCCCGGCCTCATGCATGCTAAGCATATGCTCTGCCACTGAGCTATACTCCTATCCCTGAGTTGTACGTAGATTTAAACCCATTGTGATTCTTCTTAAAGTCAGCTGGACCAGAATAAGTTTCTATAATGTACATTTCTCCCAACTGGGTTACAAGCTCCAGGAAAACAAAGTATAATTCGTCATCTCTGTGACTCCTGGCACAGCACCTGTTGGAAAGAGTGGAAACCAAAAGTAGTATACATTTTATGAGCCTGCCACAGTGGCATATGCTTGTAACCCCAGCTACTTGGGAGACCAAGGTGGGAGGATCCCTTGAGCTCTGAGCCATGAGTTTGATAACAGCCTGGGTGGCAAAGCAAGACCTTTCTCAAACAAACAACAAAGCTGGGCATGGTGGCTTGTGCCTGTAATCTCAGCTACTTGAGAGACTGGCAGGAGAATCACAAGTTCAAGACCAGACTCAGTAACTTAGTGAGACTCTGCTCAAAACTGAAAATTAAAAGGGCTGGGAATGTGGCATATGGCTCCATGTTAAAGTGCCCCGGGTTCAATCCCTATACCAAAAAAAAAACTTGCTGGGGGGCTAGGATTGTGGCTCAGTGATAGAGTGCTCGCCTCACACATATGAGACCCTGGGTTCGATCCTCAGCACCACATAAAAATAAATAAACAAAATGAAGATACTGTGTCCATGTATAACTAAAAAAATATGTATATATATTTTTTAAAAAGTTGCTGGGGCTGGGATTTAGTGGTAGAGCACTTACCTAGTATGTGCAAGGCCCTGGCTTCAATTATCAGCACCTCAAAAACAAACCAAAACCACTACATTCTGATGGTTACTTTTATTCTATTGATCAAAGTCAGGTTTTAATTGGATTTCAGAGACTGACAGAATTGACTTACATTTTGTTGTTTACTCTCTATTTCTAGTATTCATATTTACTAACAAGCCAGCTGGAATCTCAGCGAATCTATTGGGAAAACAAGATAGTGCGGATAGAGAAGGACACAGCAGAGGAAGTAAGTCTGTCTCGTTTGGTGACTGCTGAAATGCCATCTGGCAGGGCAGTCTTATGGTGGGTGGGAAGCAGAGGGCAGGGGAAAAGGAGTCGTTAGAATCTTCCTTCTGAGTCTGATAAATGGTAGAGAACGGTTTTGCCTCTAAAAAGAAACCTTGGGGGTGCTGGGGCTGAGCTTAGTGGCAGAGCACTTGCCTAGTATGTGTGAGGCACTGGGTTCAATCCTTAGCACCACATAAAAATGAAACAAAACAAAGGCATGCTGTCCATCTACAACTACAAAAAAAAAAAAAAAGGAAAAAAAAAGAAAACTTGGGCTTAAAGGATTGTAATTTTCAAGCAGTTTATGCAATTCTGTTACAAACATAAGGTATGTATATAAGGGCTTGTAATTTGAGTCAGCCAGTTGGTTTGTCAACTTGGGAACAGCTGCCTTTGAGAGCAGCTTTGAACTTGTGAGGCTACAAGATGGTATTAAGCTCTTCTAAATTAAAGGAAATAAAATTGGGCAGAGATGTTAAAGAGTTTCAGGGGTCATCCTGGCAGGATATTGGGCTGGGTCAGTGGTTTCCAGATTTTAACAAAATAAAGATGCCATCCAAACCAGGCATGCTGGCACACACCCAGCTACCTGGGAGACTAAGGCAGAAGGATTGTACATTTGAGGCCTGCATTGGCATCTTAGCAAGACCTATCTCAAAATAACAAAAAAGACCAGGCTTGGGCTGAGGTTGTGGCTCAGTGGTAGAGCACTTGCCTAGCATGTGTGAGGCACTGGGTTTGATTCTCGGCACCACATATAAGTTACTAAATAAATAAATAAAAGTCCGTCAACAGCTGAAGGAAAAAAAAAAAAAAAAAAGACCAGGCTTGTAGCTCAGAGCTTGCCTACTATGTGTGATGCCCTGAATTCAAACTCCGCTACTGCAAAAAGAAAAACCAAAAAAGATGCCATTCAGCTCAAGCCTGTAGTCTCAGCTACTTGGGAGACTGAGAAAAGAGGATTACATGAGGCCAGACTAGGCAACATAGAAAGATCCCATATCAAAAAGCAATTAATTTTAAAAAAAATATGCCATTCAGTTATTTCATGATGTGAAAGAGAAAAGTGGTGTGGTTTGGGTGGAAAGCTGGGTAGAGGACTCAGACCCCTCCCAGCTTGATTTTCCCTTTATTTCTAGCATGTACAAAGAATCCCGAGAGTTCCAAATAAGGTAATTTGAAAAACCATGAGAGTTTCTATATAATTAGGGCTCTAGGAACCATTCTCTGGACTTAGGGACAGGGTCTGTAATTAAATAAAGACATTTTTGACATTTTTCTTTTTCTTTTGTGGTGCTTGGGATTGAACCCAGGACCTTGTGCATGTGAGTGAAGCACTTTACCAACTGAGCTATATCCCCAACCCAAGACTTTTGACATTTCTAGTGATTACTGTAGTGACTTGGTGAGTCACCACCCTTACCTGGGCTTGCAGAGCCAGGCCTGGGGCCCATGTCTGCGTTGGCTATGATTGCAGACCTACGGCCAGGGTCCAAGCTCTTGTTATGCTAGGCCCATGGGCCCCACTTTCTGGGTCTGCCTATAAATGAGAGAAATAGGGTTCTTTTAGAATAATAATAATAATAATGCTTAACACCAACTTTAAAATGATCTAAAGTTATTGTCAAAATTCTTACAAGAACCTTCCAGTCAGTGCAAGTGCCTTTCCAGAGGCACTTGAGGTCACTGGACTTTGTAATTCTGAATAGGGCTTGATTGAAGCACACGTGGGAGTGGAGGCAGAGCCCTTGGTGTCACATTATAGACTCACAGGGAGGCGTGTTGGCAGTGCTTCTGCAGCCTCACTAATGGGGTTTTCTATGGGATGTAGCAGCTTGACCACCTCAAATCTTTCATGCAGACCTTTGAGAACTCAGCTCAGGAATCTCTCTGCCCTTTGAGATTCTTCAGGATTGACTTCATTTCCTAAAACATGTCAGTGAAAGCAGGTTGGGGCAGGGAGAGGAAGCACTGAAACTTGCTTACATTTACTTTTAGGTAAACAGAGGCCAGGGCAGCTCCAGGTCAAAGTTCACAGGGCTTAAAGGATGCTTTTGTTTTCTGATAACAAATATCATTTATCCATAAGTTCATGGCTAATACAAGCCTATTGTCCTGCCACTGTCCTTTATTTAGCCATTCTTCTATCCATTAGCACCCTCAGCATTAGAGAATGCAGGGAGAACAGTGACCTGGACTCTGGGCTACACTGACAGATTCTTGTTTGGGAGGCTCATAAAATGTTCATGTTGCCAGGTGTAGTTGTGCACACTTATCATCCCAGCTACTTGGGAAGCTGAGGCAGGAGGATTGGAAGTTCCAGGCCAGACTAGGCAACTTAGTGAGACCCTATCTCCAAAAAACAACAACAAATGGCTGGGAATGTATCTCAGTGGCAGAGTCTGAATTCAATCCCCAGTGCTACAAAGAAAAAAAAATTCCACGTCAAGAGGGGAGTGATTGAGGTTGAAATTCATCATGGATTTTAGTCGTAAGTACTGTTTCTTGCTGGGCATGGTGGTGCACACTATAATCCCAGCAGCTTGAGAGGCTGAAACAGGAGGATTGCAAGTTCAAAGCCAGCATCAGCAACTTAGTGAGGCACTTAGTAATTCAGTGAGGCCCTTTATAAAATATAAAAAAGGGCCGAGGATGTAGCTCAGTGGTTAAGCAACCTGGGTTCAATCCTCAGTACCAATAAATAAATAAATAAATAAATACTGTTTCTTCCCTAGTGCCTGAGGCAGTGCCATTGCTATAGCATGTGAGCCGAGTCTAGAAAATAAAGCTTATACCCACTTGAAGGTTCTTAGTTTTCATGGGGTCACATTATGGAGTCACAGAAAGGACTCACATATGAAAAACACATAGTGAGCAGTACAGGCAAATTACCTAAAGATGACTCTTTTTTGTTTGAACCTCTAGCTCCATTTAAATCAGTATTTTTCCAGTTGTGGATTCTGAAATGAATATAGTGGATCACAGCTGGCATTTTTATTGCATAGAATATGGTAGATATAAAGTGTTTAAGAGTATTTCACATTATTTTGTGAAACTCGTTTTTGTTTCATGTCTATATCTATTCACTGTTTCTTACTGTGGTCTAGCGCTTGGAAATGGTTTAAAGGCACTAACAAACCTTTGTAATATCCATCTTTAGCAACATTAAAAGCCTCTTTAGAGTTATCTTTTTTTTCCCCCTTGCCTATGAATGAACCCTGGGGTGCTTTAACATTGACTTTCATCCCCAGTTCTTTTTATTTATTATTATTATTTCTTGAGATAGGGACTCACTAAATTGTGAATGGATTAGGGCCTCACTAAATTGCTGAGGCTGGCCTTGAACTTGTGATCCTTCTGCCTCAGCCCCCCAAGTCACTAGAATTATAGGGATTACAGGTGTGTACCACTGCAGCCAGCTAGATTTACCTCATTTTTCATCTTGATTTAAATGTGTTTGGCTTAAGCATTTTCTCTGACCAAAACATACAGTTTGATTCCTTTCGATAGTAATTTTTGTCCTTTCCAACTTCACTGAAGAGTGAGTTTGGGAGCAAATGGGAAAACAATGTAATAGTCTCTGATTTCAAAATAACGTTGAAAAGAAAATTAATACCAAAATAAAATTAGGGCAATTTTGAAGCTATTTTTATTTTTTAAAAATATTTTTTAGTTATACATGGACACAGTATCTTTATTTTTTTTATTTACTTTTATGTGGTGCTGAGGATCGAACCCAGTGCCTCACACATGGGAGGCAAGCACTCTACTGCTGAGCTACACCCCAGCCGCCCCGTCCGTATTCTTTTAAATTAAAGAAATTGGCTATAAAGTTAATTGCTACAAAACAATTATTATTTTTTTTTAAAAGGGCAGTGCTATTAGAGACCAACTAGGCTGTATGAAAATGTTTAGAAAGAGAGCATATGCAGAAGCATATGCCTGTAATCCCCTTAACTCTAGAAGCTGAGGCAGGAGGATCGAGTGTTCAAGGGCAGCCTCTGTCTGCAACTTAGTGAGTCCCTACTTAACTAGTGGCACCCTGTCTCAAAATAAAAAATAAAAAGGGATGGGGAGAGCAGGGGTTGTGGCTCAGTGGTAGAGAGAGCACTTGCCTAGCACATGTGAGGCACTGGGTTCGATTCTCAGCACCACATTTAAATAAATAAAGGTCCATTGACGACAACAACAACAACAACAAAATATATATATAATATAGTGTGTGTGTGTGTATGTATGTATGTATGTGTGTGTATATATATCTATATATATGTAAAGGTTTGGGGATGTGACTCACTGGTTAACTTCCCTGAGGGATTCAATCCCCAGTTCCAAAAAAAGGAAAAAAGAAAGAAAGGTTGATTTCTCCTGCATGATCAATCTCACATGCATCATACGCAGGGTCTGCTAAGGATTCAGATATGGCGCAGAGGTCGTGTCTTCTCTTCAGTACAGCTTTGGCCTCTAGTGTACAGAAAGAGTTTTAGAACTTGGCTTTGGATCAGGCTTGGTCTTAGACTGGATTCACCACCATCAAGCTAAGTGACCTTGGGCATATTGCCTCACCTTTCTCTGAGGCTTAGTATTTGTCAAAGGTACCTTATCTATGGCATTGGCTTGTTGTGAACAATAAATGAGATACTGCCTATGGAACACATAGCCAGTGCCTGGACCACATTTAAGGGGGATAATTGGTCCTTAAAAAGTATTGTTGTGGGGATTGGGGCTGTTGCTCAGTGGTACAGTTCTTGCCTAGCATGTATAAGGCACTAGGTTCAATCCTCAACACCAAATGTCTGTTTATATACAATAAATAAATAAAAGAATTTCAAATCTCGGTCACTTTCAGATCCTATTATTGCCTCATGGTCCACTCAGCCTCTCCTTTCCCCTTCCCACCTATTCTTTTCCCAGTGTCCTTCAACAATGGAGTTGAGGGGCTGGGGATGTGGCTCAAGCGGTAGCGCACTCGCCTGGCATGTGTGTGGCCCGGGTTCGATCCTCAGCACTACATACAAACAAAGATGTTGCGTCCGCCGAAAACTAATAAATAAATAAATAAATAAATAAATAAATAAATATTGAAATGCGCGCTCTCTCTCTAAAAATAAATAAATAAATAAAATAAAGGCATTGTGTCCATCTACTACTAAAAATATTTTTTTTTAAAAAATGGAGTTGAGGCAGTTTTTAGGTCTGTTGGCCTTTACACTGAGCCAGTCCAGTTTCCCTCTAGCTGGTCTCCAGTACACTCTTAGCTAGGATTACTGCTATCTAATACACCAAAATCTTAAAATTCTCTTTTAAAAATAAGACTATGTCATATGACTTAGTTCTCTAGACATATATTGTCTTTACCTCCCAAACATGGACTTTGTGTTTCATACAGCTTGCTGGTATGTGAGAAAAGTAATAGTTTGGGGTGGGGGGTGGAGATAAGACCAAAAAATGAGAACCAGTGGATTATTATAACTTTTGAAATGTAAGCACAGAAGGGAAAAATAATGGGGAGTGATTAATAATGGGAGGCCTGCTCTGCCCTCTGGTGAACCAACTCCTGCTCAAGGGCCTGAAACTTGCTGGTCACCTTCTAACAGTTTCACGACATTTAGCAACTTCTGATCCCTTCTTCATTAGTGTTCAGGAACAGTAAGCAAAAAAAGAATTTCTCACAATTTTCATTCTTGTTACAGAAATGCTTTCTATATATACATATGGATATATTTATCTTTTTTTTAAGTTGTTGACAGACCTTTATTTTATTTGTTTATAAGCATTGCTAAGAATCAAACCCATCAGCAGAATTTATAACAGTTTATTGTACCTAGAAATACTCATGTATACAGTTCCACACTGGAAAATTCTTAGCAATCAATCAAGTTAATTACCGAGCCAACTTAAGAGGAAAAAAATGGAAAAGAAACTAAAATGTTGGGTGAATTCTACCAAAGTCAGCCATGGTGGCTGTACTGGCACAGAATATTAAACTGAGTGTGACTATTTTCACTGCAACAAATGAAAAAAACAAAATGTGCCTGTTGTTTAAAGCACTCAGTAGAGGGCTGATGAAACTATTTTTTTTTCCTTTAATACATGCACTCTTGAGTCCTAGTCACTGAGTGCTTGTTCAGACAGCACACGAGGGGTGAGAGTGCGTCTCCTAGCCTTAAAGTGGGAGGTATGCCAGGCGCTCAGAGGCTTTCGTTAGCGTGCAGAAATATTAGAAAACCTCATTGACTGATCAATTTTATGTATTTGAATATCAGAAAATTGAAATTTTCCATAATTATTGCTCATCCCTAATCATGTTCAACATCATACTTACTCATTAGAGATTTCAGATGAATTCTTAAAATTAAAAAAAAATCTTCATAGTACTAATTTTGTTTCTTTATACAGTTTGCATTTGGTGTTAGTGCTTGCAATTATATTAAAATCAAAAGCTGATTTTTAAGGCATATATAATTAAGGATGCCACTCTCTTGTTTTATACCAATAATTTAAAGATTGATATGCTAAAAAAATCAATGCACAGCACTA